GAGGCCAGTGGAGGCGGTTGATGTGGTCGGTATACAGCACTTCCAGTTTGCCAAATGTAGAGTGAGGTTTGGAGGAATTCAGGTTCAGAACCCACCTATCCACACTCTGTGTCTCTAATGACCGATGTGAAAGAATGAGGCAGTAGGGAAAGGATGTATAGATGGAAAAAAATGAAATGTCTGTGCAGTTTATTTGAGGATCCTAGTAGAGACAATTTTAGAAATAGTGAAACACATAAACCATTCTCCCGTGGCATGCTGTCTCTGGGTTATTCACTGTGGCCTCAGCCAGACCAGAACTCCCAGTCTGTCTTGTTTTGAAAATCCTCATGTTCTTCTGTGTTTTATCCTCTGATATGATTTGTCCTAAAACAAACACCTTTTTCCTCTGATTTTGACCATTTGATAATCAAACTGCTTATTACAAAACATGTCTTTTGCATGGTCTCTTGCATCCTGTCAATGCTGCACAGGCTTAGCTGCAGCTGTTGGAGCTGTTGTGAAGCTGAACACTGGACACAAAGATTTTGTCGTATCGTTATCGAAGCTCTGGTCTCCTCCATGAATAGAGCTACTGTAAAATAAAGAGGTCCCTTAGAGCTGTGCTTGTTCTCTTTTGTTCTCTAAAGAATTAAACACATCATTTCCTTTGAAAACAGCTGTTTATCTGATCCGTCAGGACAGCAGGGACAGCGTTTCCAAAACCTTTACAAATCACAATCACATCAATGTTTCCTGATCTGTCACCACTCAGGTTAATGTTTGGTGAGCTCAATGCACAAAAACTACCCGGTTAGGTTTAGGGAAACATCGTGGTCATGGTTAAAAGAAACCAAAGCTGAATGTTGGGAAGAAACAGGAAGTGAACAGTAGTTTCCCTTGTCAAAGTGACACTTTGTTGAGCTGTCTATCCTTCTCCTGATGAGGTTTTGTTCACAATAGAGTACATTGAGTTCTTGCCCTTTAAAGATAAATGCAGCTCATACTTAGGGATTTATCCAATGACTAACACAAATGTTTTTCTTAGGAGGACAGCATATTTTATTCCAAAGTCAGAAACAACACCACAAATCTTTAGCAACAGCAGGTCTAAACTGATGAAATGGATCTTATGTCCTTTTTCCAACAACCTAAAATGAATAGGAGGAGGTGCAACCTTTCTTTGCATTGTGAATTCCTGTGTGTGTGTGTGTGTGTGTGTGTGTGTGACTTCAGTTGTTTTCAGTGACCTGCCACCTCTATGAGATTCCAATACACCTTTTTCACAGCATTTCGTAGCACAGACATTTTGATGTGCTGTAGCAAGAAAACAAGAAAAGCACAGGTGTTAGTCTACTACTAATAATAATGATAGCTCTGTTCCATGTAGGCATGCTGTTAAACCATGGCAGTGATCCAGCGTACACAGTGCCAGGGTTTTGGCAATAAATGTTGTGCACACTGTAGTACTGACAATAAGTTCTATCTTGAACCTTGAAGCCATCGAAGATGTTATTAGTTGTTGTTTGGCGGTTTGAAATGTCTGCTGAAAGTAAGGTCTATTGAAATGTTTATTTCTTGCAGCTATGTAATTTTCACAGTTATATACTTTTAGGTTAAAAAGCAAACTATATGTATTTGGTGTGCTATATTATTTTGTTTTCCCTGGCTAAGCCAAAGCTTCACATTGATTCTACCTTAAACGTGACAGTATTTCTAATGTTAGTTCAGCAGCCTATTTGCAGATTAAATAGCATTTCTCTGTTAGAATTTGTACTTTGTCAGGGCCAATATGTGAATATCGGACAACACAAGAGGTTTAAAACCATTCGAGGTTGTTCAGTTAGGGTGGCCAAACTAAAGGTGTAGGTCTATCACCCTAACAGTTCAACAAAATGACTGGGATGATCAGAAAGATGTCAGTCTGATCGGCACACATCCACACAGTCCTCAGGTATGATAATTGAAAACACCTGTTTGGGTGAACCCAGGGTCTATAACAAGAAAGAGAGAGAGAGGAAGAAAAGGTAAAACAGAGGAAGAGAGAACAATTCAAGACAACAACAATAAAGGAAACACACATTAATGGCTGTATCAGCCAAACTAGAAGGTAACAGCAGAAGACATTGACAAATGGGTTTGTAGAAAGTTTTGGATAAATTTAAAGGGCAAGTTAAAGGCCAGTCAATTCAATAATCACACTCCATTGCTTCAAGCTGTTAGCTACTGCAGAGGGTCCAGCCAGTGAAGAGAAGTTAATACAGGAGTGATGTGATGTTCAAACCTTTTGGTTTTTGTTAACACTGCAGCATTCTGAGTGAGCTGGAGGTTATTTAACACCTGCTTTGTCAGTCCAGCAAAAACAGTGCATTAAGGTAATCCAGTCTACTATGAAATGAATGCATGAACACAGAATCTAACTGAGACAGGAAGCATCTAACTTTAGATATATTGCTGAGATAATAAAAGGCAGCCGTGGAGATATTAGATATGTACTTCTGGAAGTTAAATCACACCAAAAGCACACCCAAGGCTTTGGCATGCCTTAAAGACATGGGACGTCCTAAAAGAATCTCTGTTTTGTCTTTTGTCATGTGGCTTGGTGGAACTGGACTAATTTATCAACCTAAATAAATTTAACAGTGATTAAATAAAGTTTCCAGTTCACTGTTTTTCCACTTTAAAGCAACCAGTATAAAAAGGGACCATATTGAAAGATTTCACTTTCCCCACATGTACCCAGCAGATACCCATACAAGTCAGCCCACATGGGCCCATGTTACTGAGCACATATGGGTCTTTTCCACATTTAGCCCTTGTGGGACCACCTGTTACCCATGTCGCCCACATTTAATCCATATGGGGTGCACATGTGTGGGTTGACTGGGCACTGAGACAAGCAATGTCCTTATTCAGTTGTTTGTAGATTAATTCCTCAAATGTAGCGATATCGGATCTGTTTTTGATGTACTTTATATAAGCAGGAAGCTGTACTAAACATATGATGTTTTTCCAGTTTAATTTATTAATTTTAATTAACTTTTTGCATTTCATACCGTTAAATAATAGTTTTGAGGTGAAAAAACATTAGGGTCACAAGTGGAAGTACATTGTTAGAATATGATTCCATAATAGCGAGCCAGCTTTGTAAAAGAAAGGTTGTGGTAGCTGTGCTCTCTTCAGCTCACTGATCCTCCCCTGTCTTTAAAGCCTGTGCCAGCACACTGCAGCCCTCTCTGCCATGTTGATATTTCTGTTTTCCCATCCCGGCATAGTGCTCACGTTGTTATTTTCTCCGGCCCAGCCTTGTGGTTGGTGGAACCATGTTTGCGCTGCGAAATGAACATAGGGGAGCGCTTCACAGAAAACACACTACTAGACCATATGTTGCATGGCACAACATGAAAACTCACAAAAGCGTTTTACAGGAATGAGGATGAGGAAAGAAGAACGGAGGGAACAGTGGAGAGGAAGACAGAGAGATGAGGTTCAGTCAAATCTCATTCTCAAATTGTTTGTTTGGACATGATAACATTAGATTAGATTAGACTACTGTACATACTGTAAGTAGGATTTAAGTAGACAACAAAACTGTAACAAAAGTTAAAGACTAACTTAACACCAGTAGAAACTAATGTTTATGCTGACCCATGGTTGTTGTAGTTCTCACCTTGTTGCGCTTATGTAGAACTGCACTGTCTTAACTATACATTGACATGACTATTTAAGGTGCATGGTTTGGATAGAGGCAGTGAAACTATATTTCTCAGCTTACTTTTTAAAGGTGCTTTAAAAGTTAAACTCCAGAAACAAAGGGCAACAGAAACTTAACTAAAAATTCAGTAACTATTTGAACAAAAAAGTCTAAAGTCCTTTTTAGAGATTCAATTTTCACACACAAAGAACCAACAACAGGAAGTCAAACAACTACCTACAACTTCGTTTTTAATGAATAAGCACTGCTTGCTTATTATGTTAATGCATAATGCTCTACACAATTTGTAGCAGCTGCGAGGGTTGTGTTTGAATAATCAGCAATGCTCTGCACTGCAATTTCCTCCCCACGAGTTCTTGGGTCACAGGAAAGTTTGGCCCCCACAGTAACTATGAGGACATAAGAAGAGGAAATAAGGAGAAGTATTTTATCATATATAATTAGAATTGAGTCTCTTGTTCCTTTGCTTAAAAAGTAGAAAGGCTCCTGCTGTGGAAACTGCACAAATGAATATTCTGATGATGGTGTTACTCGGCAAAAGGTCAAGAACATTAAGAAGCATCATTTGCTTATAATGAATATCCAGAGCAAATTTCTGTTGAATGTGACCAAGTGTTAGTTATAGGGAAATTTTAGCTTGATGATGACTGGAGAAAAGCGCGGTGGGTCATCAGAATCAACAGGCAATCTGGCCAATAACTGTCATGATACAGTCCAGACTGCTGAAGACTTCAGGCAGTCAAGGATTTTTCACAAAATATTAAATATGATTTTGTGTGACTTCATGTTTATCCGTCCAGTTACTTTTGAATCCCTAAAGTTTGGGCACTATATTTTTAAAGGGCTATATCTCTGATACAGTTCTTTCTATTGATTTAGAACTAATAAAATAATGGATACTACATTAAAGTTCAGACTTGGAACTTTAATGTAGTATCCATTATTTTATTTCAAATTGAATGTGCTGAAGCACAAAGCCTGAAGAACAAAAAGTGTGTAATACTACCATCCCCAGGTAATGAATGGGGCTTTTCTTTTTATACTGTAATGTTTTACAATAAACCTAAACATATACAGTATAATACACACTCATACCTCTGACTGTACAATGTTTTATGCATAAATCTCCCTGCACTGCTACTTCATGAGTTATAAAGTGTTTAAAAATGGCAAACACATCTGCAGCAGCACCACACTGAGCATGGGAACAAAATTTGGATTGCTTTTTATTTTCAACTGAATTAGTTTTTGTTTTTGTTTTAGTCGGGTTGGACTGGACAGAGGTGGGCAGCTCTCCTACAAAGCCATGTTACTTTGGTCAGTATGGAGTGTGATATTGTTCCTGACCCCGCTGGAGGCTGCAGAGGAGGCTGACGTCCGGGCAGGTGGGGATGATATTTGCATAAATGAGATTACAGCAGCATTTTAATACTTTGCAGTCTGAAGTGTAATAGGAAATTTAGATTTGTATCAGTTTTAATTTTTAAGACAGTTCTCTTTGTTCACTGTGAGTTTTTTTTGTGCATCCACGTGTGTGTAGGCTGCAGCACAGCTGTAAATGACCTGGTGTATATTGTTGATGGCTCATGGAGTGTTGGGTTCTCTGACTTTGACACGGCCAAGCAGTGGCTAATCAACATCACAAGCCAGTTTGACATCAGTTCCCACTACACACAGGTACTCTAAACTGTGTTATACTGCTGAGCATGAATTTCAGTGCGCACAATACATCTGCACAACTTTTTCTCAGTTTACCTTCCAAGTGAGATTGTAATTTCCATTTCAAATCACAATTAGCTGCAATTATTAAACTGAAGAGCGTTTACCTGTCTGCAGGTTTTCATCAAACTCTAAAGTATCTGATTTTATAGGATTATGGCCTCCTGATTATCATCTAAATATTTTCTCCAGTTAAATGACATTTGCTACAGTACCTGTATCATTTGCCAGCTGCAATGATAAAAGATTTTGTTCTTACATTTTGTCCTGCTGTAGGTGGCTGTGATCCAGTACAGTGACACACCTCGTCTGGAGATTTCTCTGGGGAGACATCAGGGTGGAGCAGATCTCATCCAGGCCATACAGAGTATCACCTACCTGGGAGGAAACACACAGGTAGGACAGCATGTTTTCTCTGTACACCTCTATCTGAAACATGCAGTCTCTATGCAATGTAAATAATTTTGTACAAATATGAATATAGAAAATGTTCATTAAAACACAGCTCTGCAGTTTACATGGATGAGAATGGATAATGATTCATGACCTGGCTGCTGTTCTTGTGAATCCAACTGGTTGATTGGGACACCCGCATGCAGAGGGGTGGTGCAAGAATAAAACACACTTTATGCCTAAAATGTCCTATAAAATGTCCTGTAAAAATCTTCACTACTTCCAGTACTCTATCCAAACACAAGGAACTAATAAAGTGGAGCAGGCTGAGGCTAGTCATGGAGTGGCAGACTACACTTAACCATAGTCCACGAGTGCCAGCAGTTGCTCACCACAGGTGCAACACGACCACACAGCAACACCACAGGCACAGAAATGGTCAATAAACATACAGGCGTGCTAAGTTTGCTTTATATCACATGCTGTTCGAAAATAACATCCTTCCCTTTGAATTATACATCTTATTTTTTGGTAAAAAATTTGTCTGCTGTATCTTGTTATAATCTGCTAGTCAATTTTCACAAGGAGATTTAAAAAAGCTTTTTTATGTGTTTATATAATTTAATTTGCACCCTGTGATGCAGTGGCCAGTAGCTGAGAACTGGTGAACAGACCAGTTCACACATGCGATCTTTTACAGCATCACAGTGTTTTTTATTCACTGTTTTCCTACTGTTTTGCAGACTGGAAGGGCCATCAAGTTTGCTGTTGACCACGTCTTCCCCTCATCGCAGCGGGTCAGCCAGGTCAAGAACCGCATTGCTGTGGTGGTTACTGATGGCAAATCGCAGGATGATGTGGTAAATGTCACACTTCCAAGTGTAACACTTTTATTCATCCCACCGAATATGAAAGCTGTTTTTGTGATGCTGTTCTTTCAGCATAAACCCCCTGTCCATCTACCTGTTTGTCCTAAATGGAAAGCCTCTTTTCTTTTCCTATGTGTCTTTAGGTGGACGCCAGTATGGAGGCACGAGCTCAGGGCATTACAGTGTTTGCAGTTGGAGTTGGCAATGAGATCACCACTTCAGAGCTGGTATCCATTGCCAATAAACCTTCATCCACCTATGTCCTGTATGCTGAAGATTACACTACTATTGACCGTATCCGCGACTCCATGGAGCAGAAACTATGTGAAGGTCAGAATAATGAGTTTACCTATGTGCATGTCTGGTTTATCAGATGTTTTTTCCAGTTCTCCTGGAGAGAAGCTGCTCTCCGACTCTTGCTGTAGCTACTGGCTGTGACCATAGCGTATGGGCTTAGGTTAGGTTATGGTTAGGCATGGTAGAGAGAAGTGGTTAGGGTATGGTTATGCATTTCATAAGACCACTGCTGGGGTAAATGATAAGACTTGGGCCAAATGGAGGTAGGAGGAAATCAAAACAGCCAAAAGCTAGTTACAACCATAGCCATGACTACAGCACTGTCCAAAGCTATAAGTAGGTCCATAGTCTAATCACAGCCAGAGCCAGAACCTGTCACAATCAGCAGCAATCAACTTACCAACAAACATACCTTTTCATGACAGTAGCAGTTGCAAATCTCTCTTAAATTCAGGACCTGGCCTGTATCATGTTTTTGTGCTGCCTGTCTTTCCTGTGCTGAAAATCTCCCTCCTGCATCTAACCACTCTGCCTGGACATTTTCACCTTTTTCCTTCCTGTCTGAAGAAGTTTTAGGATTATTTTTTTGTACTGACACTATAAACATATGAAATGTACATTATGGAGGAAAATTTAATCAAATAATCACTTATTTACTAGGCATTAAGTGACAATGACACTCCAGTGACAAGGCAGAATCCTGCATTTTCCAGCCTCAGTGTTGTTAACCTTTCCTGACTCATAGTCCGGACTGTACTTAGGAAGTACAGGGGAGACATTGAGGGAGGTGAACTTGCAATTTGAGGAGTTGTAGCATTTTTTTTTACTGACTAACAGCCAAAAGTTAACATACATCGTACTATATTTTTACAGCTACACTGCTAACTCCGAACTAACTACCTAACCCTCTGCTCCTGGTGCCTCTCTTTCTTTCTCTTTCTCGCCCGCTACGCACACAATCTACATACTGAGCTATTCCTGACAGGAGCTGTGCTTTTTGTGTAACAATATTATGTCCTTAACTTACTGCAGATCTTGCAGAGAGATGATAAATCAGTGTTGTATGCCGCTTCTTAACCTTTAATGCACAATTTTACGTTCCACACAAGTCTGCGCATGCGTAAAATGCGTGCAATATCATCACTGATCTCAGAACGGTAGAAGATAAGACTAGTCACCCGCCAAAAGACAACAGGTCCCACGGTAATCGTCAATGCGCATGTGCACACCTAAAAAAAAAATGACTGCCCACTCCGCTGGACAAGCTTGTCTGTCAATTAAACACGGTCACACTCACGAAAATAACTCACGATAGATACAACGGGTCAAGCAAGCTAGCTTTCAGAGACGATACCCGACCTTTCACGGCATGCCACTGCTTTACGCCCAACTGACTACGGGTAATCACTGCTAGCAACAAGCCTACCGGAAACAACGATAGCATCTTTTAGCTATGTTTTCTTTCATGGCGCACCAAAAAATCTCTGCAAGCGCCACAAAAAAAGAATTAGCACCTAGCTGTTGAAGAAAGTTGAAGGGTTAGAGGGCAAGAGAAACGTATTTGGTGGAGACCACAACAGAGCCAAAAGGTGAGTGAATATTGGACTTAAATTTGAATGGTTACCAGAAACTCCAATTGAATGCTAATGTTGCTTTGCTTGGACATACTTTTTAGACTTAACAATATCATGAAGTAATAAACTATTGCAGCTGTGTCTGTTACATTGTTGAGGGGCAAAAAGTTAAGTTAACCTTTTAGTTTTTGTCACGTTGTCAATTAGCATGTTACCATGTAGCTTGTTGGCTAATGTTAGGTGAACCTCACTGAGAATGACCACACAGACTTAAAGTGTAACAGCACACATTTTGATACAAGATAGCAGACAACACAGGTGTGATTAATTAATAATGGCTGCATCTATTTAGTTTTGCCTGTGCATTATGGCTGACTGACACTTCAACTGGACAGAGACATTGTTAAAGATAGTAGCTGCACCTGTGCTTTTGTGATACATTGGATATATTGTATTGTTGTACAAGAACTAGATTTCCCATTTTAAATTCACTACTGAAAAAAAAAAAAAAAATCACCCTTATCTACAAGACCACAAATGCACCACTAAATAATAAAGCTGAGCCAGATGATGAAATGAAATGATTCTCTTAACTGTTTAATTAGTGTTTAGCTAACCTTTTTCTTTCTAGAGTCTGTATGTCCAACACGAATCCCGGTGGCATCTCGTGATGAGAAAGGCTTTGAGCTGATGGTGGGCATGAACATTCAGATGAAGACTAAGAAGATCCCTGGCTCTCTGGTTTCTGAGGCAGCATACGCCCTCACAGCCTCGACAGACATTACTGAGAATACCAGGTAGCTTAAAAATCATTCATGTTTACAATCTTTGTTGTTTTGTGCCTTTCCTTTTACCAATTATTGTTCATAAGTAGTTATTTTCCTCCATTCTTCTACTAGGGAGATTTTCCCAGAAGGCCTCCCTCCATCCTATGTGTTTGTAGCCACCCTGCGTCTAAAGGGGCCTTCAAGCAGGCTGACCTTTGACCTTTGGAGGGTGTTGTCAAAGGATATGGAGATCCAGGCCGCAGTGACACTAAGTGGGAAGGACAAAACTGTCACCTTCACCACCACTAGTTTAACAGAAAAGGAGCAAAGAGTCATCTTTACAGCCGGCTTCCAGGTTTGTGTTAGGATTGGGTTTCACATGTACACCAGATCGATATGAGGAGAATTTTTCACTTGACTACTACTGAAAAATGCTTAAGAAATATGACTGTACCCAGTTTCACGCGTACAATTATAAGAGATAAATGAACAACTAGCAATGGGACACTGGAGTAGAACTTTGAAAATGTTTATGAACATGAAGAAAACATAAAATATCACAGTGTAGGTGTATTGGTTGATATAGAGAGCGTACTGTGCTCTGCTGCTACTGAATGAATGTATTGAGCTGTAAGTATGTCTCTTCCAGTCTTGGGTTTCCCTTCATGTTGGTTGCTGTTAATTAACCTGACTGGGATGACTTGCAGGGAGCCAAGAGAGCAGTTGTTTAAACATCATCCCATGTTCAGTTCAATACACAGCCGAACCCGTGAAGATGTAATGTGATGGTAGCCAGGAGGAGGCTCAAAGAAAATGTTTCCTGCTCTAAACCACTGTATTTCCCCTGTGGAAACTAGCTTGTGGATGTGTAGTTCTTGGAGAGCATGCCTCTGTTTCCATGGCAGCACAAGGTAATAATACATCCTGTTGGACACACCAGGTTGTTTTTTTTCCAAAAGGCACTCACCACCTTCCATCCTAACACACACCTAGACTGTAGAGAGGAGAAGGTTGTAATTATGTTCAATTTATGTTAGCGCATGTTTGATTTGATTTGGCTTTGATGTGGCATGAGTTAGAAACCTGTGATTTGTCATTTGGAAATGACAGCTGTGGCACAGTCACAGTGAAACAATCGCTGCTCTGTTTCTTTCTGTTGCTGCATGGTTTGAGCATTAAGGAAGAATTTGTGATGGAAAAAGGAAGGAGTGCTTGGTCGTAATTCCTCGCTGGTCATAACTATTTGTGGAGCATTTAGGGAACACACATTTTTGGTTTTATGAAATTAGATTAGATGATACACACGCACACATACGACTGCCAACAAGTGGAAGGCTGAGCGAAAGAGGATTTGACAAGTTAATAATTGTTTTCACATCCAACTTTGCTCATGAATGGAAGCTTGAACAAAGATGCGTTTCAGTCTCATGAATGAACAAACTCTCAGTTAAAGCATCTTTATATTTGAGATAACCATATTTTTGCCGTCTTTTTAGACTCTGTATGATGGAAACTGGCATCAGCTCAAACTTCTAGTGAGACCAAGCCAAGTCACCGGTTTCCTCGACGATCAAGTGATCCAGGAAATCATGTTGGAGCCGGTGGAGCCCATATTCATCAATGGGGAGACACAGGTGGCAAAGAGGAGAGGAACAGACATCAGTGTGTCTGTGAGTACAGATCACACACACTAAATAACACTACAACTGAAAGGTCAGAGTGCACTGAATTTATTTAGACACCATGTACAGGTGATCGCCTGATTTAAATAATGGATCATTCAGGAGGACTGAAGTTTATTTAAATGGTTTGTAATAGTAGCTACGAGCTGTGATTGTCAGCTAAAAGCTGGCAGAGAAAACTGAAGCAAAACTCAAAATATTATTGTCATATGTTGTTGATAGTGGTTCAGTACATTCAAATAGTACACAATAAAAACAGCACACAATACTCTTGAATACGTGTGAGGAGAAGTGAGGATTTCCTCTGACAACCAATTAATTTCTGAACAATTTACTGGTAGACGAATTTAGTATGCTGAGCTGATGGGAAAGGACTTCACCCAAAAATTATGTTTATACTGCTAATTTGCAACAGCAAATACAAAACATTAAAAGAACAATAAAATGTTTTCAATTTTTTTGCTGACAATATTGACTTGTAGAAACTACAGTATGATTGTTGTGTGCTTGTTTTATGGTTATGTTTCGGTACTCGAAGCACTTGGTTAAGATTAGGGAAAGATTGTGATGATCTATAATATAGAAAAAGTCAACAGTACTTGAGGCACAAAACACAAACTTCAACTGGAGTTGATGTGGATTGAATGACTGGATGCTTCAGTACCACTTACATGCTGCTGTTGTCTTGCATGTAGTGTGAATTATGGTTTAGTGTTGTGTACACATTGTGAACATTAAGCTACAGGACAGTTACAGATGACGGAAAGGATTTTATGATAGTGTAATCTATGATGGAAACATTCTTAATAAGGAAGGTTTCTAGTCATTAAAAAAGTCTAAACCAACTATTGGTTGGCTAAAAATATAGATAGTTTTTTTTCGTTAAGTACCAGTTACGTTTTTTAATTTTTTTTATCTTGCTTTCAATATTTAACGGCAATGACCTACACCTGATACAGGTGGAGCTTCAGAAGCTGCGTCTGTACTGTGATCCTCATCAGAGTGAGAGAGAAACGGCTTGTGAGATCTACACTGTGGTAAGATTTCCGCTGTGATCAACCTGAACCCACAAAGGTCACATTGTGAAGTTAAAATTCTGTTTATTACTGCGTGTATGATGCTAACCATTACTATTGCCTTGTCTTTCTTATGGTTTACAGGATGATGAGAGGGTGAGTGCAATTTCTGCCCTGTTTCTCACACATTTTTATTCAGATTTTGCTTAAAAGTCTTTTTTTATTTAAATCGCAACAAAACCTTAATGTAAAAGTTTTTATATTCCTTGGTTGCTGCCACCATGATGTGCTTTCTAATGCTTTTCCACCTAATGAAGAAAGTGTGAGTGTGTTTTGTGTTACAGACATCACTTTGTCTGTGTTTCCTCAGTGTCCTCTGAATCGAACGGCCACGGAGGAAGAGGAGGAAGACTGCAACTGTGTAGCTGGACCACAAGGGCAGCGTGGCCCGCCAGGACGCATGGTAACACATATACACACACACACACACACATATACACACACACACACACACACACACACACACACACACACACACTCACACTACTTTGCCCTATAAGTCTCACAGGACAAGATATATGACTCATCTCTTGCCCTGCTGTATGTACATGATCCAATTATATTGGATTATTACAGACACCAGTAGTTATTTATGCACTGTCCACACTGTTTATCACCGTGGAATATGCTATATGGAAAGGGAGGAGAGACCACAACGTGCAAATTGGAAACTAGAAAACTGCTAATTTAGGGTATTTGATGTGGAATTGGTGCAATTTACCAAAAATATACATTTATCCTGTCCTCTACTAATGACCTCAGTTTTCTCAGATTTGTTTGGCATTTTCTCTGAAGGTCTCACTGACCAAAGGCAAAAAAAAAAAAAAAAAAAAAAAATTATACAGAGAAAAATAGTTTATGGTTCATCAGAAACCACAGAACATAAGTTCTATGCATGTTATTTTGCAGGTTGTGTAAAATGATTTAAAAAGAATAGAGATTAAAAATGATTAAATTTAGACTGTTTCTTTTGAAAGAAGATACACATATTCTTCCACTCACAAATGAAAAGTTAAACTTGTAAGCAATACAGTACATCGCTGTTAAATTGAATACACGCTAAAGTTTCGTTGAAACAGCCTTACTTGGACTGGTATGACCGGGAGCTTATGTTACCTAATGTTTTGTTGTGTAACTGAAACACTGTCCTGAGACAGTTCACTGACTCTTTGCACTTGTTAGACTGTGTTTTTGTATTTACAATGATCCCTTCATTGCCCCTTATGGTCACAGTTACAAAGTCATGCTTGTAACAAATTAGATGATTTATTGATAATCCTCCATTAATCTCTTAAGAATATGTTATATTGAGTGATATTCTATAAATAAGAGAGCCATGCTAGTGGCTCTCTGAAGCTGTACAGCACCATGGTGCTTTGAGCTAAATCCAAACATCACCATGCTAACGTGCTCACAAAGACAATGGTAACATTGCAATATTTAACAGGTATAATGTTTACCATATTCACCATTTTATTTAATGTGTTAGCAAGCTAACATTGTTACTTAGCACAAAACACAAAGTCCATCTGAGGCTGATGTGAATGTCGTTAGCTTAAACCAAAGTATTTGACACATTTGATGTGCAAGTGGAAAAGTCAGAGGATCAACAGAGATATTACGGTTCACAGTGAGGGGAACAAATTTCATGGCAATTCACCCAATTGCTCTCAAGACACTTCACTCAGTACTACAAATGTCAACCTCATCATTGTGGCACTGAATGAAAAGTCAGATGATCACAAAAGTCATTATGATCATCTGGAAGTGATGGAAATGTCAAAGTCCGTGGCAGTGTATTCAATAGTTGTTGAGATTTTTATTCTTGGTCAAAGTAGAGGACAAACCGGCGACAACATTGCTATCCATGGAGAAATACCACGAGCGGTGCAAACAAATGTTTTCATTTAAGTCAATGTATTTCAAAAACAGTCAAAAGAATATGTTTGTGTGTGTTGTAATGAACTGTTTTAATTCTGCAGGGTTTCCGAGGAGAGAAAGGAAGGGAAGGACCACCAGGACCTGATGGTAAGCCTGTAAGTGCTGATCAGTTCCTTCTACTGTACCTTTTTCACCTCTTCATACTGTTGCCACCAGTTTTTAGGATACATGTTGTTTGCACATGACGGAATCAGTGTAAATTGTCTCTGTCCCCAGGGTAAAGACGGGAATCCTGGGGAACCTGGCCCTCATGGATTACCAGGGTTGAAGGTAAAAAATCTTTACATTATAATTTGAAGAGGCACAATGCAAGTCTCAAGTTTTACTTGGATTTACTGCATTACTACTACAATAATTATAAGGGATTAATGCAAGCAATGCTTGTTCAGTTTAATGAATGCATTTCTGGCTTTGATTATGAGCTCTTACCTACTGTCTTCCCTTGGCTGGGCAGGGTGAAGATGGCCCTGCAGGACTGAGAGGGGAGCCTGGTCTACAAGGTAACATGGTGAGTCTTTAAAGGAGCAGTTGTATCAGTAATGTTTTGTAATCCGCTTCCATGACTGAAAGTTTCTTTTTTCTACTGATGTCACTCAGGGAGATAGAGGGGAGCCAGGTTTACCGGGAAAACCAGGACCCCCAGGACCCAAGGTGAGACTACTTTTGTTCATCTCATCATAAATATGTTTATCAGGAAAAGATCTAACAACTTCAGTCTAAAGTTGTTATTTGTTAGGGGCGACCTGTTAGCCTGATAGTAAAGGTGAATACCACATAAATGCAACATCTATGTTTTACCTTTCTTATGTGTCGTACCCTTCTCACGCCTTGTTTTCTGTCACTCTCTGTACCGTCAGAAACTGCTAAATATATATGTGTAGAGAAAGAATTTTTGCCTTAATTACATAAAAAGGAAAACAGGCTACTGTATGTAGTACTAGTTGGCTACCTGTACTATGTATACATCTATTTGAACAAATCCAAGAACTGTTTGTAAAAGACGGATAAGAAAATAATGCCAAATATTATACATTTTTGATTTAGATATAGATGCAGAATTCATGTATGTATGCATTCTACTGGTGAAATGCAACCAGAAGTAGCTACCCCACTTGTGCAAATATGTAGTTCCCTGGCCTGTCCCTACCATGACTACTGGTGAACATGTTTGAAAAATCCCATATTGGTGTTTGGTGATTGCGCATACACACTTGTTTTAGTGCCACTTCTAATGGCTCGAACAAGTGTCCTAATACACAGAATAATTTTACCACCAGCATACAAAGCATTTAAGGGTAATCTGGATCCTTTGATCAAGAAATTATTTTATTTTCATGTTTTTATGCAGGGTTTTCCAGGTCAGAGAGGTGAACCAGGACCTCAGGGAGAAGTCGGTTCAGTGGTAGGATCTAGTTCTGCTTAACAGCCATGTGTCTGCAACATGCATTAAACTTCGTTAACTGTTTCATTAAAATGAAACATCATGCACTGTCAGATGTAAATAATTCTACTATGAGTACAAGTCAAGAGAACAGAACAGAACCCTAATTCTGGTGAGACAGATAAATATTGTAATAGTGTTGGATTTGTCTCTCAGAGTGCGTTTGTTGTCCAACCAGGGGGAGCCAGGAGTACCAGGCACCGGTGGAGTGGTGGGTCCACCAGGACCTCAGGTCAGTGTGGACTGTAGATCCTGGGAGGTCAGGTGGGAGACAAACATTAAGCTGTATATTGCTGTATATCGCTGTAACAGTATCCACTGTTCTGGGAAAGCATTTCTTGATATCCTTGAAAGTTGGTGAATTTGATATAAAAAAAAATCAAAAAATTGAAGTAGACAAAGGGTCTTTGAAAGTGCCCGCATTGATATATTTTGTGTGAAAAATAGAATTTTTGATAGTGTTTTTTTTTTTTTTTTACTTATCATTAGTAAATAGGCAAAGTGGTGCTATCTGCATGTGTGCAAGAGACCACACACTCTGCCATCACACTCTGCCAGCACAGTTAAGAAGTGTTCACACACTCAAGCCTCTCTCTTTTTAATTGTTGTGTGTGAGTATCTGTGAAGCCTGATAGTTCTCATTATAAAAATTCTTAGAGGTGAAAGAGTAATTAATCTTGGTTCATTACTTAAAATATAGGCTACCAGGTTGGGTCCTTGAATTTGAGGAAATTGGGCCTGGAAGGTTCTTGAATTCATTCAACTTGATGTTTTAAAAAGGTGTGGGATCCCTACAGTGAGGTCCAGCTCTGGCCTTAACAACTAAAACAGCCACAGACCAAAAGTTCACAAAAGTACTGTATATGTGCACATACTTTTGGCCATTTTCTTGTTTTCCCTCCTCCCAGACAACCATTGTTTTTTATTCATTTTAGTGTAGTATGAAAATGTACTTTCAGAGAGGTGAAATGTACCTTAGATTATTCCACTAAAATAACATAATTTAGATAAAATTCAAAGTAAGTATGACCCTTACTTACATGTTACTACTTCATTAAAGTTTGGGCTGCTAGAAATTTATTTTCATGCTGTGCAAAAATATACACCAGTGGCTGTTTGGAATGTTGGCCAAAAACAAGGGAAAGCATAGGGATTTGCACTAAATGCACAACATGCTAAAACCTCAGTGTTTGTCCTTAAAACTGAAACGTATATGTACGTATACATACCTATATATGTATATGACCTATCTGCAAGAAGTTGTGCACACAGGACAATGAGGAAGTTCTAGTCTTAAAGCACCAACATATAATATCCTGACTGTACTGTATAATGTAGCCTTAAAAATGTCTTCTGTAGCCACACTAAGGGATTTTAAAGCTGTGAGGGTGTCAAACACAAACTGAGGCACATTGAAATATCCTCTGTATTTAACACATGTATTCGCACAGTAAATCTGAAAACACTCTCCACTTCTGTCATTTAAAGAAATTAACACCACTGCAGGAGCATGGGTCGTATACTGTACGTACAGTATATGGGATGTCCCCCCGTGGTAACTTGAAAAGAACAAGTGGCTAAATGAAAGAGCACATGCACACATCTGCAAGCATGCGAGCACGCCCACCAGCTACGAGTGTGTGATGCTATTTTAAGTCTTCTCTGAACTCCTTTGAGCGTTCTACCAGTTTGACTTGCAGCCACACTGCTCAGTAATTTAGGACTCTTCCTGTTATCATAATAAACTACTTTCCCCAAGAATCTGTTTTACGCCAACTGGAGGGTGGTGGTACACAGGAGCTGAAACAGCACACAGTTGGTGCCCATGTGTGGATATGTGGTAGTGGAGGTGGTGCTAGGGAGGGGTGGCTTGACACTAAGCAGCTAACTGCTGAGTTACTTTTGGATGACACAAACAACAACTCAAAGAATTGTTTTCATTATTTTGCATTTGTTTTGTTTTTTTGAGAGGATTGATACCATTTTCATATCTGTACATTAAATATAATGCTACCGTCAGTAGCCAGTTAGGCATGACACAAATAACCACTTTTCCCAAAATGTTGAACTATTGTTTTAAATACATTTAAGTAAAAACTGTCTCCCAGATTATTTCTTGAATCAATATATTTACTATGCTGTATATAGTACGTGTGCTGTTTACATTTATACAGTATGTGCATGCAAAATATTCACTTTGTAAGTTTTACTTTAGTACTTTTAAAATACTAAAACTACAACCTTAAGCCTTTTGACTAAGGTCAGAGAAAGATATTTATCATATGTCAAAGATGATCGGTGCTGATATCGAGGAAAAGATGAGCTCAACCCTCCAGTATTGAAGTGTGTTGTATGCCCATCCTCTGTCTTAACCTCCACACCCAGACCTCCCTCTGCTTTATAAATGTCACACTACTTCCTGCATTACTATGTAGGTAATGTTACCGCTGGAAGAACATAAACTGCTGTTGGGAATTAGTTCTGTATAAACACTGGGGACAGAGTTTTTAGATAGTAATTAAATGACTTTATGGTGGTTACTAATTGCCATGGTTGCAGTTGTTTACCTTGGCCTTTCCTCTGCTCTCCTTACACTAACTGCTTATGGGACCAGTCAGTGGTGGAAATGTATAATGTAGATAAAATTGGCTCCATCCATTTCAGATGTTAAAATGCAGATTATATGGTAATGCATCAGCAGTAATGATCCAATAGTAATACATATTACATCTAAACAATAACTGTATCTGTATAGCTATTTAGAGCCTTCCACACTCATGGACTCATCATTTCATAATCTGTCCATGTTAATAACTTGTTAAATTTTGAGGCTGTGTCCAGCCACTGTCTTGCTACCTGCTGCATCTTCATTACCTTGCATTTCAGCACATAGATAAACACAAGTGCTTGTCAGACTGGCAGGACTACCAGATGGTTAACTTATCACAGATTCCAGATTCCCAAGCTGTTGTTGACCAGATGTGAGTTACATCACAGATGCCGCAACACCAACAAACAGGCAGAGTTTCTCCCAACAACAATGTCAGGGTACATTGAACGTCTTAATGATTAACTGGAAATAGTCTGTGAAAAGAACACAGCAGTGTGTGCTGTAAGGACTAATTGCTTGTTGAGTATAATGCTGAGGTTGAAAGAGCACAGTTTAGATACACAGTTTTGCCTTGACTGTCTTCAGACTGAAGGCTGTTAGATGAAGTGGCTTTAGTGTATTATTAGCGACAAGAGATTTTTTGACACTTATGTTGGATGTGACATTTCTTGTCACACAGATCTCTCTGTCTCATTTTCTTCCTGTGATGACATTGAAAATCATAAAGGTATCAGATGCGATATGTTTGCTATGAATCAAAATTTCCCCAGGCGAGTTATGAATCGCTGCAGCAAGCATAAAAAGTCTTTTGGCTGCACTTATTTGAAGTGTTTTGGCTTCACCTGTTAGCTTTTCTCTAATATTTGTTTAAGTCGGACAAGGACATTTACCTTGGAGCAGTCTGAACAAAATACACCACAGGTGAGCTGAAAGCGTCACTGGTCGAACAGGGTGTCGGTTCATCTCTAGTACAAGAAGTCAACTGAGCGAAGCCAATACACCACAGTGAGATTAATCTGGAACACTTATGGCTGATTTAACTGAGCTTGTAATCACATACAGCTTCATCTGAGAAAACTGTTGGACAATTAGCTGTGTTAAAGACTTTCAGCTGTGTTTGTGAATGTGAGTTTTTGTCAGCCTCTTCTATTCTCTGGTCCTGATCAGGCTCTTACCTCTTTCACTGATCTCAATATTGACTGAACTAGTGTGTTTGTTTTTAAACTACAGAGCACTGCAAAAGTAGCTTCAGATGTATTTTGTCTTCTGTTAATTACCCAGTAGAATGACCTTAGCTGATAATAGTCCCAAATAAAATCAATTCTTTGGTCAGTAGGCTTGGGCGATATCCAAAATTTAATATCTTGATACAGTCCAGCCCAAATCCTGCGATTATATGATATCGCATCGGTTTAT